ACCACTGGAGATGTTATTTGTCTTGATTGAACCAACTATTATGGTCCTGGTGATATCTGAGATCAAAGGTTTGGAAAGTACTGGTCTTTGACTGACACCTTGAAATCGTGTTTGTGCATGAAGAGGGAGCTCCAAGTCTCTTCAAAGTTCCAAGGATTGATTTTACCTTCGTATGCTTCTCACTACTATCACCTGCTTTATATTACCAATAGGAAATGCGACTTAAAGCTACAAACTTAAAACATGTATATCAAAAGAACAATTCAAAATTTACAAAATGTTAAAAACAACAAAATGGATTTGATTCTTCCCATTAGAAACACAAAATATATTTAGCTGAAAGAGTGATGAAAACACGAAACTATGGCAATAGAAACTTCAAGGGAGAAGACGTATAAAGTCTCAAAGAAATATAAAGAAAAATAAGTATTGTTACCGTATGTATTGAGAGAGGAAGCGCAAATATTCGAGGGAAAGCCAAAACGAGTGGCTAAACTCTAAGAGAATGAGAAACATTATAGCTCCAGTTATTATTGTAGTTAGATGCAGAACACCACAAATGTTGACGTTTAGCGAAGGTCTTAAGATCTAAACAGTTATATCACTGGATCTTAAAGCATCTTATCAAGACCTAGAAAGATGAAGATGGGAAGAGGTTGCCATTACGGGTCGATGGTTTGTAAATATTATAATGAATTTGAAGAAGTAAGTGATGAGCTTCTAACCATCAAATCGGTTATTTATAGGAGTAGATCCGCAAGCATTGAGATAAGAGAAGGTGTATTGAATGAGACTTCGCAGGATAAGCGAGTGAGTGTTATTAATGGTGACATTAATTATTTTGAGTGCGTTTAATTGACAACCATTACGCTGACATGATTTTGAAGTCACTTGATAGAAACTTAAACGACATGAAGGCGACAAGGTATTCACGGGAGAAAAATTGACGTCTGCTAATCGTGAAAAAGATAAGAGGCATTAAAGGGCTAACTTTACATGGACCAAAACAATCGTCTAAACTCCTTAGAAATTGGTGGTAGCCGCCTTGGTCTAGTGGTTTGACTAAGGGTTCATTAATGCTTCTACACCAGGAGTCTGGGTTTCGAGTCCTAGAAAAGGTGAAATAATGTGAATTAAAGGAGAAAATTCCTACAACAGTGCAGCATGGCGTAAGGAGTACCGTCCATGGTGGATCTGATAGGACATTTAAGGTGATGCAGTTAGGCGTGAATCCTTATAAGGCAGGTAGAATGGTCGACTGTAGAATCCTTTGTAAATTTTTCATAGTTTGTAATAGCATAATTATCCAACGTTAAAAAAAACTCATTATAAATCAAAAGAAACCGAGAAATTTGTAAAATGGGAGTAATAAGCAGCATGAGATGCCCCATAAAATTATAAAAGTTTACTTTACGAAACAATGGCTTGCATGCCCCTCCATCTCGTAGAGCAATCTCCTATGGGCCTGTGAAATCTCTTATGCCCCTGTCTCATTAGCTAAATGTGAATTAACAAAAGTGCCCTCAGATTATTAAATCTTGAAAAATGAAATGTGGTTTGGTATTTCGGGTTTCCTTCGATTGGTTGGGTGATTGCGGTTTGGTTGAAACAGATCAGAATGATCTTTATGAATAAATAATTAAAATGGAAATTCCTAATTGAAATTCAATCCCGAAACGGAATTCCTCCTCCCCCAAAACCCTCAGCTCAGCGTAATTCCTTTCCCTTCCTCCACAGCTGGTTTTTCTTCTTGGTTTCGGAATCCGCTAGTTTCCCGTCATTTCTCCCTCAGCTCAGCTCTGGAACCTTCAGCTCCTCCTCCACTCACAGGTTCTGAATCTTCGTTGGGGCCGGCCGAGTTGCAGGTGAGTTGTGCTCTCTGACTTAAGTAAGTTTTAGTGGATTTTAACTGGGATCTGATTTGAAGTAGGAATCAAAACGGCATTGTCTTGTTTGAAATTGGTTATCCTAATGCCTTTTGGTGGTGGAATGAGAGTGTATAGGGGAACCGTGTATAGGCAGTAGATATGGACCTAGATCGATCTAGGGAAACACTGAAACCTAATTTTGATAATTGTAGGATAACTAGAAAACTCGAAATAAGGAGTATAACTGTGGATAACTGGAAAACTAGGAACAACTGGCAGAACTGTTGATAATTTAAAAAAACTAGGAACAACTGGTATAACTTTGGATAACTGTAGTAGATTCTTGAGTTTATTCCTCTTTTGGCAAGGTACAATGAGCAATCACGTGAGATCATTGCGCAGAAAGAATCTGGCAGTTTGTGATATACTTAGTAGTCTAGAAGAGAGCTACAAGATGATGTATAGCTATTTGTACATGTTAGAGCAAGTGAATCCTGGAACAAAAACCTGTGTGAAATTGGATGAGGGATCTAAATTCAAGTACCTCTTCGTAGCCTTGGGAGCTGGCATTAAAGGGTTTGCAGTTATGAGGAAAGTTCTAGTTGTAGATGTGACATGGCTGAATAACGTATATGGTGGTGTTCTAGTCTTCGTGAAAGCTCAAGATCATAATCGTCACGATTATCCACTTGCGTTTGCAGTATTAGATCGAGAGAATGATACTAGCTGGACTTGGTTTTTCTAGATACTTAAAAGTGTTATACCAAACTCTTTTGAACTGATTTTCATGAGTGACAGAAATAGGATCCTTATCTCCGCTATAGCAAAAAAAGTTTCCACAGGCTCACCATGGTCGTTATTTATGGCATTTGAACTAAAATGTGAAAGGGCATGCTTGTAGCGCCAAAAAGATATAATCGGGCATAGATTCATGGAATTGGGCAATATTACACGGAGGCTGACTTCAACTCTGATTATGATTCATTTAAGATAAGCTATCCTTTAGCCTACAAGTATGTTGAGGAACATACTAAAAAGGAAAAATGAGCAAGAGTTGTTTTTCCACGTGACAGGTATAACATGGATATAAGCAACAGTGTGGAATCAATGAAGAAAATGTTTATAGAGACAACGAGGTGGGCCTTAATACCAATGCTGGATTGTATCATCGGGAAAATCTCTAATTGGTTCAATCAACATCAGAAGGATGCTGTTGCTGGATCAATTGATAGCAAATTGGTGCCTTTGGTTGAGAACTACTTTCACGTGCTATCGCTTGTTGCACAAAAGCTACCTGTGCGGGAGCTTGATAGTATGATTTTGAGTACGAGATCACCGACACTGAAGGAAAGATGTTTTCGGCGAGCTTAGGTGGGAAAAATTGTACTTGCAAGGTCTGGGATTATGAAAAGTTTGCTTGTCTGCACAGACTGGCTGCTTACATATATTTCACTACAAATGTTGGCAGGAGCCTTCATATCCATGACCTGTGCTCAGAATACTACTGGTCGGAACTGTGGGCAAAGGCATATTCCATAACACTTTATGTTGTGCCCGACAGGTCTTCTTGGAATGTACCAGATTACATCAAGGAGGTGAAGATCATGCCTCCGGATCGCATCACACGGAAGGGAAGGAAAAGAGTTAGAAGTTAGTTATTTGGATTTAAGAGTAATGCATAAGCTCTGTTATATGTTTATTTGTGTTGTATGCTTCAGAAAACTGCGTAAAACTTTGTTATTTACTTTGTTTTCTAATGACATTATTATTATCTATATCAAAACGCGTTTATCATAATATTATCTATATAAAATCTCGGTTGTGATGGCTTTATATTTGTTTTCTCTATTATAATTTATAATTCTAACAAAACTCGGTCATCACGTTTTTGAAATTTTCTTCAAACTCGTGATATATCCATTATGAAACCTTATAATTCCAATCACACTTTTCAATGACGAACTTCTTACAAATGAATTTTTTGAGTTATATCTATTACGCATTTATTATTGTACATAACAATATAACTTACATTTTGAAGTACTAAAATCGAAAGTAAAACTAAAAAAAAAAACAAATTTAAAAAATTAGTAGCACTAATTAAATTAGAAACCAGCAAAAGTAGAACTATGACCAAATTTCGTAACACTAGTATCCTCTTTATAACTAAGAACAAGTATTAGGAGGGAAATGAAATTTATTTTGGCGCTTAAACAATTAAAAAAAAGAAAGAAAAAATTTCTCTATTTTTCTATTTTCTTATCAATCTCTCTCCTCCGAAACACACACACTCTCTCTCTCTCTCTCTCTCTCTCTCGCTCTCTCTCTCTACAGACCTACTGTGACGCATCCAGACGAGGAGTACGTGATGATGAAGGCATCAAAGAGAGAAAATGACATGCGGATGTTCATCAACGACGCCCATTACGGGATTCCGAACAGGTGTCCTTATGGGGGAAGAATGGTCGACGAGGTTGCTGCGGAGAAAAAGTTTGATACGCTGTCTGAAAAGAAATTCTTCACATGCGACAAGTTTGAGGTACTTCCCTATCAACTCAAGTTTTGATTTGATTGTTTATGATTTCGATTTAATTTTTTATGGTTTCGATTTGATATTTATGTGCAGGAGGATGGACTAAATAAATGAGGACACACAACATCTCTCTCTCTCTTTGATTTATGGTCTCATTTATGGTTTCGATTTGATTGTTTATGGTTTCGATTTGATTTTGAGGTACTTCCCTATCAATATCATTTCCAACATCTCATTAGGATCAGTAACGCTAAATAAATGAGAACACACAACATCTCACTATCTTCAGTATAACTAAAAACACACATGTATCTTTGGTATAACTAAGATATAATTTCTGGAAGGAAATAAATTATTTTGCCGCTTAAACATCTGTTCCAAAATATCTTATCCAAACACTTGTTCTCAGATCAACCACACAACATCTCTCTCTCTTCCAATTTCGTGAGTCAAACTGGTCCAATTCCCGAATCTACTGAACCCACACCTATTACATCTCTCCTTCTCTCTTCTCTTCCCTTCTCGTTTCTTCTCACTTGTCACCTTCCCTTCCCCTCTACCTCCCTCTCTTCTCTTCTTCTCAGATACAAAAAGTGAAGATGGAGAAATTGAATATGGAAGTGGCTTCAGGATCGTCGACGAGGAGGCAAAATTCTGTTCGGAGATTTTGTATTTGTGGCTTCCCGGTGAGTATAACGCAAGGTTGGACTGACTGAAACCCAGGTCAATGATTTTATGGCTGTCTGCATTTTCCCAATGAATCCACTTACTTCTCTTGGTTTGATGAAGATGATGGTATAAATTGGCAAAAACAAGCTTTTCTTGATGCCCGTGATGGGATTCGAGAGAAGACTAGAGTGATTGAGAAGATAACTAAAACCATCTCAAAAATGAAAATCAATTTTGAGAACAAAGAGACAGTGGATGACAAAAATGAAGATGAGATTGGTAGAGAGTTTGAAGAATTTTATCTTTAAGTGTTATGGATTGTCAGAACTTGTTTAAGTGTTTTGTTGTCTGTCTTTTTGCTTCGGCAGATAGGTTTACAAGTCTTTATTATGTGGTTGTCTAAGACTTGTAAAATTCCAAACTTCATTTCTTTATTTTGTGATTCATGATAACATGAATTTGTAACATCTAGAAAATGAATTTCAAATTAAAATTGTAATTGTAATTGTAACATCAAGAAAATTATAGTTTCAAACTTCGACAAACCGAGAAGCATAGAGTTTTGAAAAATAATCAGACATGAAACATCAACAAAACAGGAAACAACTCTGGCTTCCTTTCTTTCCTTTTTCTTTGATCCCTTCTGACCTTACTTCACAAATGGATGGGAACACCGTTGTAGATCTTAAAATTCACACTAAGTATTTTGTAGTAATCAAGAGTTTAATCTGGAGAAGACGAATGATGTCGACAACGATGCTCTTAGAACACAACGATACTCTTAGAACACAACGATACAATCAGAATTTTGTTGACAAAAATGGACTTTACTGAATATGAGATTTAGTACAAAGTAATAATCGAGATCAAGAACAACAAAGAAAGATCAAAACTATATGCGAACTAAATTCTAAAGAGTGACATCGATGAGAATAGTGGTTTGCTCTAGGTTTTTTTGTGTTGCTGATACTCCGTTTTAGCTCCTCTTTAATAGTCTCCTTCTCCTCTAACAGTTTCCGGGATCTCCGGAGTAGTAGTTCGAGCTCGTTGTGCCCGATTTGATCGAGTTGATGGTGATAACGTGTGGGTGAAATTCCTACGAACATTGGGTCCAACATTTATTCTTGCCTTACTTGATGGGTTCTCCATGGGCTCATTTTCCCAATAGTTATCTTTATCTCGTGATGGACCTCGTACTACAGAAATTAATGGGCCTGATTTTGGGCCTAACATTTGCCTCCCAGCCTTTTTTGTTTGGGAAACTGAAAAGGCGAATGTTAATCATCTGTCTGACGCCGTCACGTATCCCGGTGACATCACGCTCTTGTCGGCCACTTCCTCGCATCGTGTGGCTGAGATTGATTGTCGACGTCATTTACTTCCGGAACCGTTTTTCAAGTTTTATTAAATAGGTCGTATTCTTCGTTAAGAAAGCTAACCTTCATAGCTTCCATAAATGTTTTCTTTACTTCGATTTCTGTTCTTGACAAACCAAATGGCAAACGAGAGATTCAGTCCTCATCTTTATTCGATTCTTAAGGGAAAAGATATCAAAGGTATCTACGATCTTTGGGGAGTTCCTTATAGCGTGTAACTCGATATTGTGGAAGTTGGTGAAACCCCAGAGACTGTGCGACCTGGATATTACGGGGCTTACTTGACACACTTCTGGGACTGTGGTATGTCATTTACGCTTTCTTCATTTCTCCTCGAAACTCTTGCCAAGATGGAGATGTCTTTCACTCGTATGTGACCTAACTTCCTTCGCTACTGTCTGGACTTGCGGGTTCGAGCCCAGGAAGAGGGTATTAGAATCGGCCTAGAGGAGTTGAGGCAGCTTTGTGCGGTTAAGAAAAACACGCATTTTCTTGGAACTATGCTTCTTTCACCTCGTAATGGTCGCACTATCATCGAGGGTATTCCCAACCGTGATATAGATGAACAGAGAAATTCTTTGTATTCAAGATAAGTCTGGCTTTGGTTGGTGATTTCGACTTCAATCGAATTCATCAGGACTGGTTAAAGGATATATGTTCGTTTTCTTGTTCCTATGGGAATTAAGCTCATTTTTTTGTACCCCCTTTTTGAGGCTCTTTTTTTTTGTACAGAGCTTTTTGGGAGCGCTCTGATGACTCCCGAGCTTCGAGGTTTGATGGAGACTTTGCGTTGAGGTCAAACTTGTTGGTTTACTTTCACTGTGTATCGTATCCGATCTGCTCTCTCTATTCCTCCGGGACGCGGCAAATCCGGTTCGTCTAGAGGGTGCTCGCCGTAGTAAGTTTCCTTTTCTTCTTTTGATTTTATCAATACGTGTGATTATGATTCTCAGCGTGTTGTTTCTTAGGAGTGAGAAGGAGAAGTTCTTCTCTCGAGAGTTTGGATGAACCTCCCGAGGTTGGGCTGTCAGAAAGAGTTTGAAAGTCTCCCCGGGGTCCCATACTTCGTTCGAGGTTGCAAGCTCAATCTCCAGGAATTTTAGTCCGACCATCGGCTATTGCTATTTTGGCGGATGGGAATCAAATGGCCCCAGCCGGCTCGGCCGAATCTGTAGGAGATCGTCGTAGAGGCAGCAGCGTTAACATCGTTGCTACTCGAGCTCGACGTCACCACCTCGCGGTTTTGGCTTATGTGAGCACGGATTCATCTCTTCCTGAGGCTTCCTCTACTGGGAGAGCGTCCAAAGGAGGTCAATCGAGGGTCGATCCTGATCGTTCTTTACTTAGGACGGAAGGGGAGGTTTCCTCGGTTGTTCATTTCGAGGCGGAATGGAGCCTTCCCGGTGATCCCGAGATCTTGCTGGAATGTGGCACAAGATTAGGTCGAAGGATTGCGAGCTTCCACCGCTGGATAATATGCATACTCAGAGGAGTACATTCTTATGGCGGCTGCGAATGCTAAGGTAAGCGATATGTTTTCTATCCTCTTTTATTTCTTTTTCGTTCCTGACAGCTTCGTTTGTTGGTAGGACATAGAGGCAAGATGGGAATCCGTGTTGGCATATGACATTTCTCCAAACAAACTTGATCACTGTTTCGGTTGTTATTTACTGGGACGCTTCGGCTTCGATCCATTTGGTGAAGTAGTCGGTTAGCACTAGGAGAAAATGTAATCTTGTCGGTTCGGAGGGTACCAACGGTCCGACTATGTCCATGGACCATTTTATGAAGGGGTATGGTGAAGATATCGACGAGAGCTTTTGAGTGGGCTGATGTATCATAGGCGCGTGTCATTGGCATTTATTGCATTTTAGCGAAAATTGCTCGCAGTCATCGTTGGCCAAAAGTACCCATATTTCTTGATCCTGATGGCTAGAGATATGCCGCCTGAGTGGTTTCCACATGATCTGTAGTGAGTTTGCTTTAGAATTGCAAAGACGTCTTTGGGAGAGACACATATTAGGTAAGGTTTGCCTAGAATTCGTTTATATAGTTTTTTCTTCCATAATGCAGTAGCGCGAGCTCTGAGCCTTTATTTTCATAGCTTCCCCTTTTTCTGCGGGGAGGTCGTCATTGCTGATATAATTGTAGATCCTAAAATCCACACTAGGTATTTTGTAGTGATCAAGAGTTTAATCTGAGAAAGACGAATGATGTGGGCAACGATGCTCTTAGAACACAATGATAAAATCAGAATTTGGCTGACAAAAATAGACTTTATTGAATATGAGTAATAATCGAGATCGAGAACAACAAATAAACATCGAAACTATATGCGAACAAAATGTTAAAGAGTGAGGTTGATGAGAATAGTGATTTTTTCTAGGTTTTTTTGTGTTGCTTATACTCCGTTCTAGCTCCTCTTTTATATTCTCATTCTCCTATAACTGTTTCTGCGATCTCTGGAGTAGTAGTTCGAGTTCGTTGTGCTCGATTTGATCGAGTTGATGGTGATAATGTATGGGCCTGAATTTCCTACGAACATTGGGTCCAACATTTATTCTTGCCTTACTTGATGGGTTCTTCACGGGCTCATTTGCCCATTAGTTATCTTTATCTCGTGATGAGCCTCGTACTACTGAAATTAATGGGCTCGATTTTGAGCCTAACAACCGTCGACAATGAACCACACTTCTTTGATTGCTTCGATGGGCTCAAAATGCTGGAAATTACATTTACTTCTACGTCAGTTATACCAGTAATACCAAATAGTTTTCTCAAAGTTACTACAATAATATGTAGTATACCTACTTATTACTAATTTTTCCATATTCTCAATGTTTCACCGAGTGGTACTACTATTACGTGTACTTATATCATAATTTCAAGGTTCTACTCATCATCACCATAATTCCTATTTCTAGTTCACCAAAATATGACCAACTAAAAAAAACTAGGATTCAAAATCCAATTTTAATTTGAGAATTCGCTTATTTATTACCTCGTCGTCCTCCTCCTCCTTCTCGTCCACATCTTTAACTCCTTCCACTACACTTTCCGAACCTTTATCCTCATGGACATCATCCTCACTGTCTTTCTCCTCTCTAGAAGTAACTGCCACCGCAGATTCGACGAAGACACTTATCGGTTTCAAGATTACCCCATATGTCTCTCTCGCCGTTGCTGGTCCCCTTTGCGACCCCTCATATGATGTCTCAGTCATATCTTTTCACTCTATCGATTCTGACACACATATCAACTTCTGCGACCAAGAAATAGAAGAGAGTGGAGGAAGGAATCAGACTCTCGAAGCTTAGAAAGCATTTCGAAAGGAACAAGGAAAGGGAAGAACAAGAGTTTTTTTTTTCAACAGGAAGATTCGATTTCATTAAATCTGAAATTCGGGTTTCATTAACCCGAAATTGGGGAATAGTCTGGGTTCCTTCAATTTTTGTTTTGTATTTTATTTGGGTCACAGTTTAAATTAGATCAAATTGAATTTCGGTACAGCTATGTATAACTCAGAAATAACTAAACTTTTCTATAGTTTAATGATCTTTTACATAATCCCCTATATATTATTTGAGAATCATTTAAAAAGTTGTAACCTTAAGTTTGTAAGAATTAAAAATAACTCCAATCCTACGTGGCATAGCTCTTTGGCTTCTATTTCAAATCTCAAGGATTCTAGAGCATGTGATATAATATATAGTTTAAAAATTATATTCTCTAGCAATATAATATTCCGTAGGTTATACTTGGTCGCATATATCAAATATATTTATTATTTTATTATTTATAATATGCAGAAAAATATAAAATAAATAATAAATATAAAATACTTATTGTGCATAAAGTGCAGATCTAAACCTAAGTATGTATCTCTTTAATTATTTTGAATCTTAAGTATTTTCTAAAACAAACGAAATGAGAATAAAATTCAAAATAAATATTTGTATCGAGTAATAACCAAAATATAAAAAAACACAGCAAGAGAAAAATGGAAGATAAATAGGACTGACACGTGGACGTAAATTTCTCATAACCATAATTAATTTTTAAATTGTTAAATCATGATATAAAATTGAGTTAATTTTTAATTTTTTAAATCATTATGGTTATGTTAAATCATGACCATAATTAATTTTAAATTGTTTATTTGTATTTGAAAAACTTAAAATATTGTTTTTAAAAATAATTTAAAATTTAACATAATTTTTTATAAATTATTTAAAAAATATAATTTGTAAAAAAGTATAATTTTCTAATATTATTAGACAGAAAAATAAATTATATTAAATTAGTTTTGAAACTTTATATATTTTAAATGCAAATATTTTACCAATTGCTTCTTAAAAACATTAGAGAACTTGCTAATACTCTACCAGTGAAACCCAGTGACACTCCATTTATTTTCCATCACTGGAACACTAAAAATTGAAAAGATATATGAAATCATATCCATTAAATTTAAAGATTTCATCTACATTTCTAATTAAAATTATTTTTGATCCTATGTATAGATAATTATATAAAAATTTCAAATACATACCAAAACAATCATATGTAAATTTTAAATTTATCAATACTAAAATTTTATATTTTAGTTACATATATTCAAGGCGCAGGTCTTATCCTAGTATCCTAATTAAATAAAGATTCAAAATATTCACGTTTTATAACGGGTCCTTAGAAGATTGATTCATGAGATGGAGGCGCAGGCAAGCCACCGATCCTTACTTATAAAAATTTGAAATTCATTTGAATTGAGGATATTTAATGAGGCCCAGAAAATTTAAATCGGCCCGGTTGTTAAACGGCGCCGTAGGTAGCGGTTGTAAAGAGTGATAAGTCTCGTGAAGACGACGACTAAAGTAGTAGTAGAACGAAGAAGAGATTTGATTGTCTGATCTTAGAAAAAATGGTGAAATCGACAAGTAAGGATGCTCAGGATCTGTTCCGATCTCTTCACTCCGCATATTCTGCGACTCCGACTAATCTGAAGGTTCGCCATTGTTGATTTTCCCTTTTCGCGAATCCTTCTTTGTCTTTACGGAACTTGTTTTCTTTACAGGTCATCGACTTGTATGTCGTTTTCGCTGTCTTCACTGCTTTGATTCAGGTACTCTTATCTATGGCTTCTAGATCTGCAATTCTCGAGTCGATCTGTTGTCATTTCTCAAGCGTTAGTAGTTAATTAAGTTTGTTCTGAGATTGATTCTCCTAGACTCGAACCCGTGACCAGATGCTGTAGAATAGGTAATTGATTTAGATCTAAACATTGTGCTTATGAAACCTATAACTTCAAATTGCAATGTAGCTTCACAGCATTGTTATGCAAATGAGTTTTTTTTCCTTGAATGAAATTATTTAAGATGTTACTTTTTCCACTCTAATTATCTGAGGGAATCATCTCTTCTTCTCTGATGTGGTTTGACGTCTCTGTTGCTCATGAGTGGCTTTTTAAATCCTTTTCATTAGTTCACAATTGGCCAAGAGATCAAGGGAGTGTTAATCTCTAGAGCTTTCTCTTGTTTTTTTGTTTTTTATGAACAGGTGGCTTATATGGCTTTGGTGGGATCATTTCCGTTTAACTCATTCCTATCTGGGGTTCTCTCTTGTATCGGGACAGCAGTTCTTGCTGGTAAGTTTAGCATTTCTTACCAGAGAAAGATACTTATACCGTGTGAATCTAACCCCATCTTCTTCACTTTTTGTTTGTAGTTTGCCTCCGGATTCAAGTGAACAAAGAAAACAAGGAGTTCAAGGTAGTTATTGTGCCATTTAAGAACAAATTTAGATGACAGTTTTATTTCTCTATGACAATCAGAACACACCATTTTCCATCTCCTTCTTCCTTCCCCATGTTTAGTTGATTAATTTATACCTCCATATTTAGTTGATTAATCTAACCATCATAGTCTGAGTCAGTTGTTAGCTATGCGATAAGAGTTTAGAAGGGAGTTAGGCAAAAACTGGTTAGGCATTCTGAATACTTCTAGGTTTCAGTTGGGTTTGTGGGAGAGATTCTGGCGAATAGTCCATTGGTTCGAGGCCTTCTATATGGAGTTATTATCACATAATCTCTTTGAATATAGATGTTGAACATGGGTATCAATTAATCTCATTTTCCCCGCAGCCAAAGAAACACAATCAATATTGCATTGCTATAATCATTAGACTCCTACCACGTATTTTTATAATTTTCTTCCTTTGAATTTCCTACAGGATTTGGCACCGGAACGAGCTTTTGCTGATTTTGTCCTCTGCAACTTGGTCCTGCACTTGGTGATCATAAACTTCCTCGGATAGGTTTCCGTCTCCTATCTTACAGAGGTTGCTTTCATGTAATCATGTTATGGAGTTTTTTTAGGTGTCACTTGGAATCAAAACTGTAGTAGTATTGAGATATTTCTGTCAAAGAATCGAACTTTTTGGTCTTTCAATAAACAGTGCTACATATACTTGGTTGAAAACTCAAATTGGTTTCGGTCGGCCTCTGTTTGAATCAATCATAATCCGATGCTGTGTCAACAATTACAGGGTTCACGTTTGTATGAGCTCTGTGGCTCTGGGCGGTTCAGGGCAACTCCACGACACTTTTAATAAGAGAAAAAGGGAATCTAATAGTTGAAGCTTATCTACTCCTGTGTAATTTGTCCAGAAAAAGAAAAAAAACTCGTACAAACATCAGCAGCGAACATGGATAAGAAGAAAAAATGGGTTATTTGTGAAATAGCCACAAACAAAAATAAAATTAGTTTTGTAAGAGAGAGAGTAGAGAGAGATAAGAAGAAAGAGGGGGAGAGAGAATGAGATTCTGGCTAAATTATTAATTTTGGTTTTTTTTATAGCTAATGCACCCAATTTCCCAAGAAAAAACTGTAGATCTAGTTTTATAGTTGACTTTGACCCACAACAATACCTTATTTTGTCACAACCAACTATAGTTTAAGACTTTATTAATCGTTACAATTTTCAAAATATCATTAGATCCTACCAAACACACACATGACTTCTTTAGATCAATCACTTACTGTTTTACACAAACGAATGGAGAATAGAAATACTGGCACAACTGTATACCTCGTTTTATAGTTGATTTTGCCCCCCCCCCTCTCCCCTACAACATTGTTGTAGAAGGTGAATTTACACTCTCCACAAGACCCAAGGAATAGAAAGTCTGGTCTAATAAGATTCGTTTTATCAGACTGGCTACCGACTAAAGCGATCATAGAGACTTACGTCAGTTTTAAGCTGACATAGCTTAATCCAAGTTAACTAAGACAACAACGTTTAATTATTAGCGGCTCAGCGGTTTGATCGACGGCCCATCAACACGGTCTTATCCAGGAGGCCTACTAAGACGGATCGACTTAGGGTATCTGCACGAGATCTACTATATAAGAAAAAAGAGAGAAGGCTGGAAGAGGGGGTCAAAACACACATACACAAACTTGCGGCTAGAATTAAGGTCTCACCGACTGTACTTTCCCGGTTAGCTCTTTGAGCATCGGCTTGTTTCCACCGCTTATTTCCTTATTTGTAATCATCGTAACTCCTTAACTCGTCTAATAAATGTTTTTGAAATATTCTATCGACAATTTTCGTCTCGTTACTAATTTCCGACCGGACTCGGTTCAAATAACTGCCTTATTTTCTCACAATCAAGTTTTTGACTATTAATCGTTACAATATTTTCAAATCATTAAAGCCTACTATACACACATGATGACTTCTTCAGATGAATCACTTTCTGTTTTACACTAGCGAATTGAGAACAAGAATACTAGCGCAACTTTGGAAAACATGAGATCTACCAATGTTAAGAAAATCACTTGACAATTACTAAACGCTTACTATTAGCAAATAAGTGGATTATTCAGGACTTAAGTGAGATCTTGTTGTTATCGTATTCTTAATTTATTTTTTTATTCTTTATTATCATCCATATTAAATTTTATTGTATTTCAGTTTAACTATAGAATTATTTGATGAAATAAAAATTAGTGGATTTGAACTAACGTTATTATTTGATTTTTAAGAGATTAGAGTAATTCGATTGTTTATAAATATTTTAACCGATTTAAATCGGTTAAATAGTATAAATTTTTTTTAAAAAAATTAGTTATGATAGATTTGTTTTCTATACCGAATTTTAGAAAACTGATTATTCTACAGAGTGTGAATCTGGTTTCAGTAAGTTTCTCGATTTACTAATTTAAATTCTTTACTAGTTTCGTCTCTTTATTAGTTTCCGAACAAACACGGTTCAAACAGTTGGCCCCCACCATGAGGCCTAGAAGATGAGTCCGAGCAATGAAGATTCTACTTCCTGCGAAGAGGCTGACGCAATAGAACCTACTCCGATTACCGCGGTACCACTCGCCCCAGCTTTCCTTGACACTATCATGGAACGCTTCCCCCGGAAGAACGAAGCCCAAAAGGCAGCAACTGAGAAAATCACCGCTATAGCAGCCATTCTCGCACCCTTAGTCGGGCAACCGCCGCAACAACAGCGACAATTCAGCGTCAGCTGTTCAACACTGATAGAAAAGTTGATACCACAAACCAAGCTGCCGGTACACAAACCCAAAACGCTGGTGAGATTATCCACACCCCCGGCGCCCCAGATCTGGAGACGATTCGAGAAATCGCCGCACTCAAACAGTCACTCAAGGATATCCACTCCAAGATTCACTTTGTGACAACCTCTGCTCCACAGATCGAGAGCGTCGTCGCTGACACCCTCCGAACTCCGTTCTCTCGGAAATTAACCAATGTGCGACTCTGGCCGATGCAAAATCTCCGTCTGTCGACTTTTTACGGTCTCTCCAACCCTACCGCCCATGTTACATCTTTCAACATTGTCATGGGAATGACAAATTTCTCCGACGAAGAAAAAGATGCCGGTTTTTGCCAACTATTCGTCGAACGTCTTGTAGGGGCGGCTCTCAGCTGATTCACCGGCTTACCTGAAAATTCGGTCGATAGTTTCCATGACATGTCGTCTGTCTTCCTTAAGAACTACATCATGTTTATCCGTCAAGGAGCCATCGCATCGGATTTGGGGAACCTCTCTCAATCCCAGGGACAGAGCCTCCGTGACTTCATAGAGAAATTCAACGAAGACGAACTTCCCGCATCCACAGTCCTAGTTCGAGGGAAGGATGGAATCACTAGGACATGGTCGAAGCCGACAAAAACCCCCAAGGTTCATCCGAACGATCATGCTCAAATCCAACCGAACCCGACAAATGGTGTACGAGAAAACAACTTATTCATACCCGAACTATAAGTATCTGAGAAAACATACCTAAACTTTTTTGTGTACTAAAACATACCTAAACTTTTATTGTGTGTGAACATACTTAAACTATAAATAATCTGAATTACATACGAACTTATAAAATCCATGCTAATTCATACATTGACATTAACGATGTTTAATGAGAAATTTTCTAGGATAATCTATTTTAATTAATTTTCACAAAAAACTTTTAAAATAGAAAATGACCAAAATTTTTTTTTATTGAAGGACAAATATTTTCTTATACCTATGAGGTTAAATAACCCTAGACCTTTTTGTTTAAAGTTAAGGGGTGGGAATTGGAGATGAAGTTTAAAATATTCAAGAATAGAAAATATATATTAAAAATTTTAAAATAAAAATTTGATAAATATTTTCAAAAAGCATTTTCGAATTTAAAAAAGCATTTTTGAATTTCAAAAATAAAATTAAAATAAAAAATTCAAAAAACAATTTCGAAAGAAAATTGATTTATTAAAAAAGTGTGAATCTGAAAAACTTATAATCCAAAAATCTAAAAAGGTAATTTTTATTTTAATATTTAATATTTTATAATTATTATATATATATATATATAATTTTAATAAAGAAAATGGTAAAAAAGTCTTTTGTCTCTTTTTAAGCTTAGGTTTTTGTTGCGACTAAGAGAAAAATCTTTTGGTCTAAAATCGTTGAAGGTTAAGAGGAATAAGATGAATTAGTTTATGAAACGACGTCATTTTACTATGGTTCAAAAAATTTAATATTTGATCCAAAATAATTTTAATATTCAGCTCCGAATATTTAAACCTTAACCTATTATATTTTGGGTTCTTATACAACATGTTTGTAAGTGAAGCTGACTAATCAACCACATAGTATCCTAGTTAGTATCGTTAAGTATGATTAAATATTGTTAATGTCAATGTATGAATTAGCGTGGATTTTATAAGTTAAAGTATGTAATTCAAATTATGTATAATTCAGGTATGTTTTCACACACAAGAAAAGTTTAAGTGTGTTTTCGAACAAAAAAAAAATATAGGTATGTTTTAGCACGTAAAAAAAGTTTAGGTATGTTACTTCCAAAAACTCATAGTTCGGATATGAATAAGACGTTTTCCTAATGGTGTACCTACCACAAGATCAAGAGACATGACACGAAGGAATGCAAAATCTTGTATGAGCATTTCCTTTCGTCCATCGCAAAAGGCAAACTGGAAATTGAGACGCCAAAAGCGAAACCAAAAAATAGCAAGAGCTGTAGCAAAAACAAGTACAACAAATATCAGAAATCTCAAGGCAAAGATCCACAAACTGAACCACAGACAAACTCCAGGGAACCCGGTCGTTAACCCCAAGAGAAGGGCGACTTGTTTGCTGATGAAGAGCAGCCGAGAAATTGACGCCTAGTCGAAGTCATCTTCGCACACCCATAATCCTCGACCGATGACAAAGCCTAATCCACTTTCGATGACCTTCACACATACCTGGACACGCGACTGACCGAGAGAGTCGTCAACCCTCAGCATGCCTCGGATTTGCGACATAAGCTCAAGCAAAAGACATTGCGACAGAAAGCATCTCCATACCGAACGAATTGACACTCTTCCCGACCTAACCTTCGCCCTGAAGAGTTGATCTTTGCAATAACCTTAATTCCAAAGAAGAAGACTTCCGAATCTAACTTAGCTGATTGAAATGTTCCGACTTACAACGACACCTCAAAGCGACTAAAACTTGTCACGAACAAGAGTTGGATGCCACAGACTCACCAGCGATTTACGGACGCAGATTCAGTCCAAACAAGTGAACGTAATCATGGGAGGATCACCTACCTACGGAGACTTGGTCCGATCAGTCAAAGTTCACCAACAATAATCGAAAATCTCCCAAAATGGCCATCCAAGTCCGAGAATAATCCCAAGATCACTTTCTCGTCTGAAGACGCCATCGGAGTCCACATGCCGCTTAACGATCCGTTACTCATTGAACTCAGAATCGGGGAGTTTGACGTAACAAGATTTTTAATCGACACCGACAGCTCAATCGATCTTATTTTCCAATAAACCCTCGAGAAGATGGGGACCGACATCCACCTAATGAAGCCTTCAAACCGATCATTAACCGGTTTTAATGGAGTTTCAGAGGAAATATTTGGCACAATTGAGCTCCCGGTTTACGCCGGAGGAGTCACCCGAACAATCATGTTTTCCGCC